CGCGAGATTTCAAGCATAACGGAAAATTATACTCTCCCTTGCGTGATTTTACGCGACACAATGTTCCACGTGATCAGCATAATACGTTGACCAGCATAATTTCTCAGAAAATCGTGCGTTTACGAGTACTTTTTGTGCCCGGCGTTTCATACAATTCCGAGAAAGACTAAAGCGCACATGCAAATTAGTAAGGAAATGATTTCGCACGCGAGATTTCAAGCATAACGGGAAAATACTCTCCCTTGCGTGATCTTACGCGACACAATGTTCCACGTGATCAGCATAATACGTTGACCAGCGTAATTTCTCAGAAATCAAGCTCTTTAAGTAACAGCTATATGCCTTTGAGCATTTTATCCTGACGGACACCGTTCGTATTAAGTCACCTTCTCAAGAAGTAACAAAATATCTTCTGTCTTGTTTACGAAACGTCGTTTTAAGGTAAGCTCTGAAATAATTTACAAGGTTAAGTGGATTTTTGTCTCACCCACTCGTGTTCCATCAGTAACATTGCGAGTTTTTTGTTTTCATGTAAATCAGCAAAGTAAGCCAGTAACAACACACCAGGCCATATGATCACAGACAAAAACAAGCTAGGAAAATGTTATTGATCTAAAGTGCTTTGCTCCTGCTTTCTCTGTTTTTATTAGAATATTTTGTGAGAACCGAGACAACTGAGTGTTATGAGATAATCTGAAACCTTTTTCCTTTTGATTTTTAATATAAATTACCGGCTACACGTAATATCCTGTTCGCATTGTAGTCGAAAGAGGAAAAAGTTGTCGCAAACAACTGCTTCGGGTGGAAGATGTAGTGAACCGCTTCTTGGTTATAAGATAATATAATACTATTAGAAGTAAAATCGTGCGTTTACGCTCTTTGTGCCCGGTGTTTCATACAATTCCGTGAAAGACTAAAGCGCACATGCAAATTAGTAAGGAAATGATTTCGCACGCGAGATTTCAAGCATAACGGGAAAATACTCTCCCTTGAGTGATCTTCGTGACACAATGTTCTACGTGATCAGCATAATACGTTGACCAGCATAATTTCTCAGAAATCAAGCCCTTAAAGTAATAGCTATATGCATTTGAGCCTTTTATCCTGACGGACACCGTTCGTATTAAGTCGCCTTCTGAAGAAGTCATCAAAATATCTTCTGTCTTGTCGTTGACGAAACGTCGCATTAAGGTAAGCTCTGAAATAATTTACAAGATTAAGTGGATTTTTGTCGCACCCACTCGTGTTCCATCAGGAACATTACGAGTTTGTATTAAATGAGAAAAACTTATTCCATTGTAGAAAAAAGACAATCCGGTATGAGGCATGAGGTCTTGCTTTAAGTCTTTCAGCAAAGTAACCCAATAACAACACACAAGGCCATATGATCGCATACAAAAGCAAGTTATGAAAGTGTTATCGATCTAAGGTGCTGTTTAGCTGCTTTCTCTATGTTTTTATTAGAATATTTAGTGAGAACCCAGAAACTAAGTGATACGAGATAATCTGAAACCTTTTTTCTTTTGATTTTGAATATAAATTACCGGCTACGTGTTATATCCTGTTCGCATTGTAGAAGTTGAAAGAGGAACCAGTTGTCACAAATTCATGCTTTGAGGGGAAGATGTTGTGAACTCCTCCTTGCTTATTAAATAACATAAAACTTGGCAGGCATTTTCAGTCAGAGAAAAATTTAAGGTGGCAAATCAAACTACGAATTCTTGAACACATCATTTGACTCCTTTTGAAAAGATGTAGGTTTAATTAAGTTAACAGCGTAATTGGATATTTATCAGCCCACAAGAGGAAAATGAAAATAAGGTGAAATCCAACTCACAGATAGATTTTGGAATAACTGATCTCTTCTTTGCTTTTGTTTTTGTTCGTCATGGCTCAAGTTTGAAAGTTTACGAAAATTTGGAATAAGAGATGGCCTCATTGCAATGGTTTATGGCCTTCGCGAGAGCCTCGTCGATTAAGGTCGAGATTTATATGAAACGTTCGCATCAACTATGTAATTTTTAAGTTAAAATGTGTTTTTCCGCTCCTTTACTCAAAACTTACACGCCAAACAACGTACTTTCCATCACCTACCATGACAATAACGTCCAAAGTCCATTCAAAATATACCTAATCATTGCACTAAATAAACATTGGGCAATTTCTCACGTGCTTGAATTGTCTTCCACCAATCAAATTCCATTTTGCCATGCAAATAAGACTTCGCTTCATCTCGTGTCATTTCCCTGTAAACAAACTGCATTTAATCACATATTCTCACCACATTGTCCAACCCCACTGAAAAAAAATTCAGGTGGAACTAAATGCTACTGGTAGTGAATTTTTCACGTAGTTCGTCCGCGTTTTGACTTTTTCTTCGAATAAAATTGGCTTTTATCTACTTTGGACTTTACTCAACAGCATGGATTTTATCACTTATTTCACACAGTGAGGGCGAAGTCCAGATAGACAACAACCTTTGAAATATTATCATTTTCTCTTGTTATATGTATCTTCACTTATTCGAGATTGCAACGTATCTTTGGTTAGGAGACTACTGGAGATAAAACAGAGTTTCAGTTTGTTTTTAGTAGTTAAATTATGCGGATTTATATTTTTGAAGTAACTGACTGTAGACGAATAATTTTGATTTTATCTCTGTAAGAGGAACACCAGTAAGTGTAGTCTCTTTCGCAACCGTTATTTGGTCTCGTTATGAAACGCGCTCTCTCTCTCCAACGGGAAATAGAAGGCGTTGAGTTGCATTTTTTACTGAGAAGTATTTAGAGAAGAGGACAATAGCCCACCAAATATCTGTTTGAGTTCAGATAAATTAGGTTTTTTTTCTGTCTTTCTGCGATATTTTCTTTCTTATGAAAGTTATGTTCTTTTCTGTTACAAAAATGAAAACATTAAGTTCACAGACTGTCTCATCTCCAGCCGAGAAAATAACTCTTGCATGTTACAAGAGCAAACCCATCATATATTAAAGCATGAGAACGGCTTCTCTAAGACGCGGAAGTTTGGAGATATGTTGCATCGTGCGATGAGCAAAAGTTTGAGCCTATCATAATCTCAAAAAAAATATCATTTAGGATTATTGAGTTTTTTGTTTTTTTTTAATTAAAAAAAATAACATCTATTTTAACGTACAGAAAGTGGTATGTTGTTTGCACCAATCAGATCGTTTAGGATATGTATCTCGCACCAATCAGAGCGCCGTTTCAACGAAGTTTGGGGATTCGGAGAGCGCGGTTCGTAAAATGGAATCATCTTTTAGAATGAGAAATGTTGGCATTTCTATGTTTTAACGTGTATTTTACCGCGCTTTATGAGAAATACGATACTACTGAAGAGATGAAAGATATCAGATTATCTATAGTAAACGTGTTACTCAAGCTGTGAAAATGGTGGATAGTTGTTCGAGACAAAATAGAGTTCTGTGCATTGTAGCAGGATCAGGAGAGGAGAGTGAGTGGAAAAATTTTGAATCAAATATTGCTTGAGGTGTTGATGAATTGCACCAAACATTTTGATTTGAGCAGTTCTTTAACGGCAAGCTTTGTTGCAAGATTCATGATTTGTAAAGTATGCCGATTATATTTTTCTGGATTGGTTTGCTCGGTGCTATCTCTAGATGAATGTCTGATTAAAATCAATATGGAAGATTTTGTGTATGTTTTCGATGCCTGGAGAAAGTGATCTTGTGGAGTCGTTTGTGTTTGGCCAAGAACGGATTCAGATACCATGGTAAGCATGTTTATTTGATTTTGTTATCTGGAATTGATGATTTACGGAGTTAATATGATGTGATCTACCAACGTCGAAGATATATCGAGTCGAAGGAACAGTTTTGGTCTCGGTCCGCATTTTTGTCATCAAAATAAACATATACCGCTTAAAGAGATGATAATACGGATCACGTGCAAAGCTGTCGAATATTGGGCGTGTTAAATATTCAACAGTGACATCTCATTTACATCTACATCTACTTTTGTTACGTTGGTAAAATCTGTACAAACGTCACACCAACCAACTCGCGCGCAAAGTGAGAAGACTATATTAAGGCTTGAAATTATATTAAGATCGATTTTTATCAAGAAATGGGCCAGGAATATTCCACAATAGTGCAAATAATCGTGAAAGCTGATCGCGGAAAAGCGATTGCGTGACGCTCGGTAAGTTGACGTGTTATCATATACCAGATGAAAAAACTCTTTAGATTCTCAGTCTGCATTTTCTACCCACTCTGCGGCCTGCAGTCTACATTTTCTATCTAGTCTACCTTTTGTATCCGGTCTGCAGTCTGCAGTCTGCATTTTGTACCAACAGGTATCCATGGCACCAATACAGTTTAATTTTGGTTTACAGTTATTCGCCCAACACGCACAATCTACCACAAAATACCTGTGTGTGAGTTAATTCGACATTTTCGTTCTTTTCCGCGTGAATACTCTTCTTTCCTTTTGTGAAAATGTAGACATCACTCACAATGTTTCAAGTAATCTACCCACCCCCCACCCCCAAAAAAAAATAACTCTTGCATACATAGCATGCCCATGTTTTTTTTAAACCCTTCTAAAAAACACATCTAATAGGATCGAAGCTGGCATGCATGTTGAATCTAAAACTGTGCAAAGGTTATACCCAGGTGATCATTCTAACAGGCAATATTACATGGGTCAATAAATAATTTCAGAGCCTCTCAGAGTAGACTTATCAGTCTTTAAGAACGACGGCTTAGACTGAAAATCTAGAAATTATTTCGGCTCACAACTTTGTCCAGGTTAGGATAATTTACAATGACCGCTACCATTTTTCAGAAGATTTATTTTAGTTAACCACATGAGAGAATAACTCCTCAGACTGAATGAGTGTATCGAATGAGTTTTCAATGAGAAACGACTCACTTGCTTCTTGTTAAATGATTGGGAGCATAGTGAAAGAGTACGTTACCATATGAATGAGTTATACATTGCTATCACTTTTCCTACTTGCAGATGAGTGCCATCGAGAGGACAACAAAGCATCAAGTCGATGAGCTGCGAGAAGGAGTGAAGAACATGTCTGTCGATATGAGAATGTTCTCCCTCACAATGAGATCCCTCTACGCCGAGAAAGCAGTGGGCACTGACGAAAATGTTGCCAAAGAGTTCAGAAAACTCCGCGACGATACCAGGAATGATGCCATAGTGTACATTAGGGGCATCCTTCCTCTGACAACCGAGTTTATCTCATCCATAAGCTCATACTTTGAATACTTCGAAGCTCTGACGTTTGTTGAGTGGTGTGAAAATATATCCATGATTCGCAAGCAAGTTTCTGATTACAAGAAACTCTCCAACACAATGTTGAAAATGTATAAAGAGATCTTGGCGCCCCTTAAAAAGAGGAGTGACCAGGCTTCTCTTTTATTGGAGCAAATGACGCACCTTACGGAAGAATTTGAGAAGAAGAGGGCAGCACTGGAAAGAAAGGCGGGAATCAAACGTACTTGGGCGATAGTACTTCTCTTTTTCCCGGTCATTGGTACGACTGCCAATGCCATTTTAAAAGCCCAGAGTGATAAAGATTTGGCAGAAGCCATCGCTGCTGGAAAGCAAGCCGAGGTCGAAGGGGCAGCCGCCTGGGCAGTGAGAGAAGCTCTCATTCCTGCTTTTGAGGCCTTCATTTCTGGAATTAATAAAGCAGCCGGCTTCTTCTCTGTTATGGAGCACGAATTGAAAAATTTCGAAAACAACGCTAAGGAGAGCGAGGACGACCCTCAATTTATCTTCTTCAAAATAATGAAGGTTGAAGCCAAGGATATGAAGTCTATTTGCCGAGTGTTCTACCAAGCCTTACCAGATATCGAGACCGACTTCCAAGCCCTGCCTACCGAGGGCACAGACCGCAACTACGTGGACGGGTGGCTGGAAAAACAGAAAAAGATGATCGAAGAAGAATGCAAAGGTAAGCTTTCCCAGAAGCTGCTGGAAGCCATTGCATATGCATTGGAAACGAAGATGCTGCCGGTGAAAAGTCACTAAGCTCCTGAACTCCCAAGTGAACATTTAAAGTAAAAGCATGGGAACAAAGATAAGAGGTTTATCACCAGGTCAGTTTTAAAATTTTAGTGTGTTAGTTTTGAACGATTATGTGGATTAATTTGGTCAGTTTAAGTACATCTTTAACAGTGCTTAAAATTACTCATCTACTTCTTCAAAATATTCCCATATTAGCTTTTCAAAGAATTTTCAAATGCAGTGACTTAGCACCGCGAGACTAGAGCAAACTGAAGTTGTAGAGCGCAGAAAAATCAAGTTAAGCTTTCCATCATATATTTTTATTTTCATATATATTAGCTGTTGTATTGCAGAAGATTTGGGCTCCACATCATGACTTTATTAACATTCAAACGGGAAGGCAACCCATTTTCTGCTTCTTTTCAGAGCCAAATTTTCTTTCGCTACTTTTAAAAGAAAAAAAAAGAGAATTGAGTACATCTTAAACAGTGTTTTTTAAATGACTCATTTTGTTTAAAATTTTCTATCGCTGGCATGTTGTAGGAAAAACGTTTTCAGATTTATAAGCTTCCAGAATTGCCTTACAGCAATTTTTTTTGTTTCCAGTTTGAAAGTTATTTTGATTAAATAAATTAACAATCAATTGATGTGAGTTAGCAATAATTTATTCTACTATATGCATGCACGAGGAGCCACGAGCGTTCTATTGTTGTGCAAAGTACCTTTGCATTAATTAAGAAACGTTTTCATCGAGCAGTGGGTCTGAAAACCTCAAATAACTTTGGGAATATGTTTTCACCGAGGCCATCTGTAATGAAAGCCCTTCTTATGTGGCATTGACTTGCAAAATCGGACTTTTGACGTGCAAAATCGGACTTGCGTTCCGCTTAACTCTTTGATATCCGCAAAATGACACTATTTTTGATCCATTAATATTTTTGGCTTTAGCGCGATTGGTCGAGGCGCATCAAGTGAATTGAAGCCTTCAGTTTTCCTCGTGCTTTGCCCTTGTAAATTTTTCGCTTCTCGGATCTGATAATGTCCGAGGAGAAATATCCGCGAATATTTTCGCATCGTATGGAGGCTATTATCTACTCATCAAGTCGATTATTTTTTTTTACTACAATCAGAATGGCTACATAAAGAGTGAAAATAAATTTTCACCCTAAGTATATTTCTGGCAGGAGACGTGGATGCAATCGGCTTGTACTTCAACGAGAAGCGATGCTAAGATGAATATGTCCTTATTGACGAAAAGACTACTAATACAATCTATTAAAAGTGTGAGTGTTCTTTGACATATTTGGGATGTACTTACGCCAGGGCTTGGCTCCTCTTGGGGTGGGGGGGGGGGTTTAATTCCTTGGAATAGGCTACTGGAGATGTACCGCTGGATGGGACCACATTTTCACGACTGGATTAACTATAATAGAGTTACATTTTCATTTGAGTTACTAGAAAGAAGACTCGCATTTTCGGGGTTTTGGGGATAAGAAAATTCTGTTAATTAGGAATTCGCGGCTAAAAATTTGTTACCTTATTCTAAAGGTGGCTAAGATGGGGTCTATAACTGGCCACAGAGTAGACTATGGTGGGGTAAGGGGCTCTGAGAGGCCAGCGGCACATTTTCAGAAAAAAATTGACCCAGATACCTCCCTCGGCCCTGGCCCTCGCGAAGCTTCAACAGCTTCCTGTAGGGCTCGACTGTTTGCCGTCAGTATCAGTTATCCCTATCTCCGACGGAAGCGGGTTTTTACCCAGCGTGGTCTTTTCTATGGCTATCCAGACGGGTGCGAGCTCATGAATAACTCAATTATGATGGAATACTAATCTCCTCCGCGGCAGAAGACACCTAACTGGTCTCAGATCGCTCGTGGATAATTAACTAACAGCTTATGATTTTCATCTTGTCTCGCCCCAGCCTCTTCACCTCTCGCATTTTCAGCTAGCTACCTCTAATGAAGCTCTTGGCTCCAATTTTGGCAATATACATTGAAGAAAACAAAATGAGCATACTAAGTTTTAAGTCAGTGTTTCACTCTCAGGATGATGATTGGAAACTATCACCCAAAGAGCGACTAGAAAACCTAAGGAAGGAAGAAAATCGAGGAAGACAAACCCAAGCCAACTGATATGGAGATCCTGAACGTATCAGACGATAGCGACTGGAAGATGATTAAGTACTTTAACAAGGTATGGTCGAATTCAAGGATTCGTCTAAATTGTTTTTAAATGCAGGAGGTTGTTTTCAAAGGACTATTAACTCGTCTGTAGAGAGTGAGTGGCAATACTCCTTCTCGGTGAAACTTGAAGTGTGGACAAATCTCGGCAAAAATCAAGTTCTTGGCCCTTAAGACTAAACTTTACAGGATAATTTAATCTGAATTTTAAACATAATGTGGCGTTACTTATAATCATGAACCTCCCTTTCTTTCAGATGAGTAAGGACATCAAAGATAGCCTCAGAAACCATTTAGACGTAAAGACTATTCCTTTTATTACAGCTGGCCCCACACGTACACGAGGAGACGCGCTCGGCAATGAATGGCACAAACTTCTGAGAGACACATTAAAGGAAAAAAAAATGACAGAGTATCGGACTAAACACACCATATCGATACTTGAACTGGGCATAGAAATATTAAATAGCAATTTCTATTTGTACGGATTCATGTATAGTGAAAGTGAATTGTCCCCGGAAGTTTATTTCTGGCAAGGAGAAGCTGATGCAATCGGCTGGTACTACAACAAAAAGAGAGGCCAATATGAGTACGTAATTGTTGACTGGAGAGTTAAGCGCGATCTACTGCATTTCTGGGTGTCCGACGACACATTTGGAATGTACCTACACCAGGGCTTACTGTACGCAAAACTTCTCCAGGTACTCTTGAAGCTCGACTATCTACCATCGGTGTTAATTGCCCCCATCTCTGACGAAAACGAGTGTGTTGTCCAGCTCGGTCTTTTCTCAGAGTATCCAGATGAGTGCAAGAAGTTGATAAACGATGACTTCTGCTGGCATGGCAATGTACCCGAATCTCTATCACAAACGATCTATGCGAAAGCAACACTGTTTGATCAAATTGTCTGTTTTGAATCTCCCATTGGAGCTAATGTACTTCTTAGATGTATATTTCGAGAAAATGCAACTGTTGGGGACTTATTAGAGGCTCTTGGCCCTACCACACGCTCGCTGACACTTATTCCTGATCAAAATTAGAAAATGATATAAAGCAATGAAACCAGATCTGGTCCCTAAGGTGGGAGGGATTTCATAGTCTCATGACTGATAACAGCTGAAAATTTAACCTTATCTTTAGACATTCTGCTGTGTAATTATATGTACCTTTTTTAAGAGAGTCGGAAATTACTCTGAATCATCCTCTGATAAATTACATCGTCTGAAAAATCAGGATGATCTTTTAAAAGGGAGCAAAACGTGACCAACAGTGTTATTTGCTTATTTACTTGGTAAACATGAAAAAGCCCCAAGGCGGTTTTGGTTAAGGTTATTAAATAGTTATATCCTAACCTTTCGGTCACCAAGAACCAACTACATCTAACGATTATCTCCGCTTTCCTCTTCACCATACTGATAGCTGACAGTTTTCCAACCTGGCTCTCAAATGACGTCTCGGGTGAGCCTATTGTTGGAGCTTGCAAGTGAAATCTAAAGCAATTCGTAGCTTTGGCTCTCTTAACTCAGATAATTCTGCTCTCGTTCGTCTTTCATGTAACTTGTCACGAAATTTCGAGTCTTCTTCGTGATATGAAAACTGATTGAGCCGGTTGTTTACACCAGGTCTAACACAAACCACATTTTTACGCAATCAGTGTGCCTTATAGGCTTTCTCAGTCCATAATGAAAATTGTTTAATTGCAATGTCCTTATACCGTTAGCTTTCGGCTCTCTTGATACCGTTCACAAATGTAAAAGTTCAGATTAAAGGTCCAGCTACGTTGGGGATTGTTCAGGATGTGGTTTTGTTAAAGAATGGCTTAACTTTTTTTTAAACAACCGACCTATTATCTTAAACCTCAACAAAATTGAAAAGATGATAAACTAAGAAGGAGTGTAAATTGTCAAGGATGAAGAGGATTAAAATGGATTGCAATTGACGAATAAGGGCGGGATTTATCAGAACGCGCAAGTCGTTTCTTCATATCCTCTGGATCATGCCATTTTACGTACTTGTGTGCCAATTTCGAAGAAATTTCCACATCTGTGTTTCTTCTCATTTATGTACGAGTTAGCTGCATATCATGGGTAATGGTAAGGATAAATCTCGTGAAACAGCTTGTAGGGACGGTCTCATAAATTCTGCTCTAGATTTTCTAACAGCTTCAGGATTTCCTATTTTGTGATGATGCCTGGCTGCCCACTGAATTGTATCAAATTAACGCCCAATTTTAGGCCTCAATCCTCAATCCTTTGGTGTGAAATTGGTTCGACTGCGAAGAGGGAAAGTCGGTTTTTCAACCCTTTGAATATAGTCGGTGGGTATACCGAAAATTACGGCCCGTCCCTGAGGAAACTGGAAATAAGGGACTGGTGCGCTTTTCTATTAAATTTGCGTGTAAAAACATTGTTTTCTTAAGTGACTAATAGGTGACCTCTTTGTTCAAGATTTAGAGTTATAGTTACAGCACTGCCCTTGAGCAAAACACCATCTAAGGACTATGTTTTTATCTTAAGTATGAAACATTTGTGTGCAAGGAAAATAAAAACCATTAACGGATCGGCCGAAATCGGCTTTGGCAGAAATCTGAGCACATAGACAGCGATTCAGGACATCGTGGATTTTGGAACCATCACTAATCGCCAGTTATATTAGAGTAATCTTTACTATGTCGGTGCCAAACAGGTTGCATCATTAGCCCCTTCAGAGTAAATTATCTAAGAGCGCACCGTTTGTCTAATATTGCTACTTCCTCCCTCTTTCCCCGAAGGATATGTTTCCTAGAATTCTTGTAATTATTGTGCAGCATTTCTTTTTCAAATCCTGACCCTTACCAGACAAAAATTTGTCATTCAGTTGCAATATCCGTTTTCAAGCCTGACCTCAAAAATCAATATCTGTTTTCAGGAACTGGCTTTCGTTGAGCAAAACGATAATCGAATTCATAGGATTAAGCGAACGCAAAGGAATGTTCTTTCAAGAAAAGCTAATGAAGGGAAGGCTCGAAGACTCGTTAAATTTTACCGTCATTGGGCTGAGGCTCTCTCAGAATAAGAAGAATTGTTTTTAACTTCTATCTGTGCGGGAGAACTAAACTAGATGACTTACATGAGGTAATCGAAGACAGGCTTTCACTTGTCTTCGCATCATTCAGGTGCCGTCAACCTTCGTGCGAAGACCGTAACACGCACAATAACGACTCTCAAGACCACCCAGCAAGGTTTGTTTCGTCCACAAGAAGCTAAGGCCCTCTAAGACTTGTTTGACAACAGTAGTGTTCAAACTAAAAACTAAAAATTAAGGCCAAGTAGCGTTAACTATAGCTACGCAGCCAAGTAAAGTTCTGAGCTCCACGTGCAAAAAGTTTGACAAAACTAAGATGAATTATGAACGTGTGTGACCATATTTGCAATTCAAATGAAACATTTCGAAGGTCTAACAATCAATATCCAAAATAACACCCTGAGAAGGGGGAAAAACCCTAATTAATACTGTTGATCCCTTCGGTTGTTCAGTCGTGTTCACTTTATGCAGGTTTAAATACCGTAAGACTTTTTAAGGAAGTGAGAGGTGAGTGAATACCACATTTCTTTGCACGATCTTCTATAAAAGTACACGATAATTAACGAACTGTATGCTCCATCAGTCATATCAATCAATTAAAAAGCTTAAAACGCTCTGCCAATAAAAAAAGCTGCATTTTGGTCCAACTCAAGATAGCCTTGATTCCGGGCAACTGTTAAAACGTAGGATTGAGGCTCTTGACGAAAAAGAAATTTGCCATCGTGTTATGCCGGGCGTGAGACATGTCTAAACCTGAACTGTAATGGCCTAATTTTCTCAATAGAGAAAACATTTTGATATGATAGAATAACGATGATCTTTTTTTCAATAGGATCGCTTAAGCCGCCGCCGAGTTAAAGCTATGTTAAGCCTATTAAACACCTGTAAGTTTGCCAAAGCACCTAATTTGCCGAATGGCCTTCAAAACACGCAGACCAAATAAGGTCAGAAATCGTCCTTGGCATCAAAACTTTTAGGTTAGAAAGCCAGCCCTTGTTTTGAAAAAGGCTTAAGATCAAGTGGCTAGTGCATGGTCTAGGCAAGTCCCGTTTGCCGTAAACGGCAACAGCAACGTTGTTTGCTTATTTACTCTGTGTTTTTGCAAGCTCAAGACATCATCTGGAATGCTTTCAAACTCAATCGTATTTGGGTGAATGCGTCAATGTCTTTTTGTAATGACTACCCTGCGTGAAAATTTTTTTTTCTGTCATTTTTCCAAACAATAGCAGTATTAGCGATCTGTATTTCCTCACGACATAAAAACTACATGTATTACGCTACTAAGCAGAGGATTATGAAGTAGTAAAACGGTAAAAAGTGATAAAAACATGTAAAAAGTTATAAACTTACAATACTACTTTGTGTCTATAAATTAGACGATACGTTGGAGAATATTTAAAACGGTCCGTATTAACTTTGAGGCAATGGCAAGATTTGTATCTAAAATTATGTTTCGTCTCCTTTTTCTTGAAAGGGGATCAAATTTCTAGAGAATGGACTCTGCCACTTCACTGAATATTTTTTTTCCTGTTTTTTTTAATAGCACAGTGTTATTGGCCCTAAATACATATTTGCGCTTACGAAATCTTCCAGAAAGCTCTAAATCTCGGTGAGATCGGCCTTTTTCTGCATCTTCCTGCCTGAATTTCAATACTGACAATATAAGAACTAAGGAAGCAAGATCATGTGTACTAACCGTTTCACGGAACACGGGATATTGTTGCAAGTTGCGCATTCTTGTCCACCGTCTGTGGCCACATCCATTCTTGTGCGTCTTCGAAAAACGCCCACTTCTTTTTGGATGAGTTTGCCTTCATTGAATACTCAAAAACGCTAATTAAAAGGAATACTTTGAATATTATGACGCTCTGACGTTTGATGAGTGGTGTGAAAATATTTCCATGATCCGCAAGGAGGCTGCTGAGTACAAGAAGCTCTGTCACACAATGTTGAAAATGCATGAAGAGATTTTGGTGCCCCTGAAGAAGAAAAGAGACCAGGCTGGTATTTTACTGACGAAAATGAAGCTCCTTGTGAAAGAATTTGAGAAGAAGAAAGAAGCGCTGGTAAAAAAGGGAGGTACTGAACGTGTTTGGGCGATGGCACTCGGCTTCATCCCGGTCATTGGTGCGGTTGCCAGTCCCATTTTAAGCGCCTGTGGTAATAAAGATTTGGCAGAAGCCACCGCTGCTGGAGAGCAAGCCAAGATCGAAGAAGCAGCCGCCTTGGCAGTGAAGGAAGCTCTCATCCCCGCTTTTGAAGCCTTCATTGGTGGAATATCTAAAGCAGCCGGCTTCTTCTCCGCTATGGAACATGAATTGCAAAAGTTTGAAAACAACGCCAAGAGGAGCGAGGACGACCCACAGTTTATCTTCTTCAAGATAATGAAGGCGGAAGCCACGGATATTAAATCTGTCTGCCAAGTGTTCTATGCAGCCTTACCAGATGTCAAGACCGACTTCGAAGCCATGCCAACAGAGGGCACAGACCGCAACTACGTGGACGAGTGGTTGGGAAAACAGAAAAAGATGATCGAAGAAGAATGTAAAGGTAAGCTTGCCAAAAATATGCTGTCAGCCATTGCAGATGCAGTCGAAAAAAAAATGAGATGAAAGGCTGCTCAAGCTCAGAAAGTTCCTGATTCAAGTGCGATCTACCAAGTGGAAATTTTAAGTACAGAAGATGATTTATAAGAAACTGTAGCGCTAATTGTCAAAATGGTTTTGTCAAATAAGTAGAAATTCAGTTAAGAAGTTCTAAAGTTTTGAATGTTTTGCTTTTATATGACTATATATGGTATCGTTTTGTCAGTTTCGATTTTATCAATGAACTTCCTAAAAGCTAGATGAATTACTGTATTTACTACTTATATTCCTTACCTATTTCAGTTCAACATGTTTCTGTAAGTTGCGGAACAAGTCCATGAACCTTTTACTGAACCATTTTAAGTTTAAATAATCGACCAAAAGCATGTATTTTTGTGATCGCTTTGAAAGTTATTTTAATGAAATAAAATTAACAATCAATTGATGTGCGTTTCCATCATTTATTTATTGTATACCTGGGGACTTGATGTATTAGTTTCAAAACTCAAGAAGTTATTAGCATGCTATTACGAAGTGCGAGAAATGCGCAAACGATTCTTTAAGTACTGAGGGATCGTTTTTACCTTGCAGTGCTTCTGAAAACCCAAATTTGCTATGGGAGATAGTTTTTCACTGAAGCCATCTCAAATAGAATAATTCATAGAAAGCACGTGGATTTAAATGACATTGACTTGCAAAAATCCGGCTTTCTGTTCAGCAAACAAACATATTTGAGTAAGTAAATAAGTCTTTGCTAAACCCAACTCAGACTCCCACTCAAGTTATTGATCATAAGTACTCAGCAAGGATGTACTGTTACGAGCTGAGAACTGTTGTACTCGACACTAAAGGTATAGGTGTAGCACAAGGGTCCTCTCTTGATTCAATTCAACATTCAGGCCCTGAACGAGCGCTTTGACTGAAGTCAGCGGCGACGAACACGCAGGACATTGATAATAACATTCACTTAGAATTTCACGAGCTAGAAAATATTTTACTTAACGCAAATGGAGTAGCAGGAGATGGCACATGAAAAACATGGGTTAAATCTATACTCATAAATATGTCTTAAACGCTCTACATAATCTGTATTGCATCAACACGCTGTCATGCACCAGTTTTTTAAGCGATTTTTATTCAAATAAAGCTGTTTCTTCTCAGTGTTTGCGATCAAACCCAAACCATCAAAGTCGTCCATGGGAGAAGTGTTCAGATATGCTGGTAAGATGAAGTTACAAACAATTCATTTCAACAAAGGAACGCAAGCAAGAGAGGAAAGGCTTTGATCATCATATAAAAATGAAGATGAAAAAGAAGACGCCTTACTAGGCCTAACCGCTCGAGGAGAATTAAATGTTCGTTTGGAGGTATTCTTGGCATTCTGCGCCGACTCTCCCCAGACTCTCCACCCTCGAGCGCCAAAATTTTCAACACGTCACACAGTGAACGAGCGCTTTCACTGAAGTCAGCGGCGACGAACATCCGGGAAATTGATCATAATGTTCGGTCAGAGTTTCACGAGCTATAAAATATTTTACTATACGCAAATGGTGTAGCAGGAGATGGCACATTAAAAAACACGGGTTAGAAAAATCTATACTCCCAAATACGTCTTGAACGTTCTACATAATCCGTATTACATAAACACACTGTCATGCATCAGTTTCCAAGCTATTCCTATTCAAATAAAGCTGTTTCTTCCCAGTGTTTGCGATGAAACCTAAATCATCAAAGTCGCTCATGGGAGAAATATTCAGATATACTGGTAAGATGAAGTTATCAACGATTCATTTCAACAGAGGAACGCAGGCAAGAGGGGAGGCTTTGGTCATCATATAGAAATGAGGATGAAAAAGAAGACGCCGTACCAGGCCCAAGGTATTCTTAGCATCCCACGCCGACTCGTCCCAGACTCTCCACCCTCGAGCGCCAAAACTTTCAACACGTCATGTGTTGTGAGAAAGAAGGTAAAAAAGAAGGTAATCAATCAGTCTAACTGCGTGGCACCAAGGCATCTAGCTTCCGAATTGAAATCGTCATATTGAAGACTACTTAAAATGACACCCGAGGAGTTATGTAACTACATCAAGGATTTGAAAGAAACGAGGGCGAGAATTAAAGACGGGAAACCAAATTCATCTCGTGATGTAAAGATTCTGAATCCATCCGACGAAACGGACTTGATGCCGATAAAGTACTTTGACAGGGTGTGTCGAATCTAACGAGTCTCATAAATTACTCTCACATTTTTGAATGGTATATTAAATAGACAAGCATCTCATTAAAAGCGAAGAGCAATGCTTTGTATCCTTTCCTACCATGGAAATCGAGAAAAGCTTTCGCGGTAATGAGCTTCTTGGTTTGAAAGCCTAATCACTTACCGAGTTACGTTATATAACTAAATTTCAAACTGGCTTAAAGAAGTTTCGTCGCTTATGTCAATTTCAATTTGATTCTCCCTTTATTTTAGATGAATAAGGACGTCAAAGAAGGCTTTCAAAGATCACAACACTGAACCATGGGTCCACCATATGGCACCGAAGTCGGCCTGGAATGGCACGCACTTATGGAAAATTTTGTAAAGGAAGTGCTAATGAAAACCTCAAATGAACTTTATGAAAAGGGGATGCAGGCATTTCTTTACTCCGCAAACTGCACGATGAAATGAAAATATCTATTATTTCCGGTAAGTTCCCTTTGTATGGCTATATGTATAACAATAAAGAATTACCGCCATATCTTCCGTCTCCAAGAACCAATGATATCGATCGATTATGTTTGTTTGTTTGTTTTTTTTTTTGCTTTTTCTCTACATATTCTGGATCATGCCATTTTACGTACTTGTGTGTCATTTTCTAAGAAATTACCATATCTGTGTTTCTTCTCATTTATCTACGAGTTAGCCGCATGTTATTAATGTGTTTAGCTGGGGAGAAAAATGCAGATTTTTATCAAAATTTGAGTCGAGCTTCAAGCATTAGACCCCTTTGTTTTTGAGAATTATTAAAAAATAAATCCGTGAGTGAGATTAAATTAATTGCGCTGGTAGATTATCACAACTGTTAAAATTGTGTTCTTCTTAATTCTTAATCTGCATTTAATTTTTGCGTTTACTTTTTAATGTTTTTATCTAAGCTTTCCATAGTTGATAATAGAAAGTGGGATTTTTATTACATCAATTGGTAGCAAAGGGGTGTTTGCCTCGGATAACTAAACCTTACACTTCTGATATAATAGACTTCTTTAGTTAGTACGATTTGCTTTCCCAATGCAGCTCTGGAGTACTGCGTCTCTCAATTTGCTCAACGTTTCAAGTACATGTGTACTCATAATTTGCAATATACAAAGGGAGAATGCACTTGAGACTTTTATTTGGAAAACAAAATAAACAAGTTAAAGAGGCCATCGCTATATTAAATGATCGCTTGATGAATAGTCTGAAGAAATTTTCATCCAGGCACAAGGGCTAAGCCATGAGCATCGAGTAATATTTTTTACAAAATTTGATTGTAATGTCGTTTGCTGAGTCAGTCTTGAACTTACCGTGCACCCTCATAGTATTTCGTGTTTTATTCTGCAAAATGAGAATCGTTGACGTTATTAACTTAAGTAAATATATCGCGTGAAAGTGGGTAAAAATAACAGTGTGTAGATTTACAGAACTTAGATAGGTGTCTTCTTATGGGGCCGGAGTAAACTTCGGCAAAAATATGGCCTGTTATGATGTTACTAGTTGAATATTGTGAGTTTGTTGATTGTGCACATTTCTGCCGCAACACTGAACTATTACTCAACAGTTATATTAACCCTTTAAACACTAAGAGTGACCAGCATCTAATTTCTCCTTACAGTAATACTGCTGAATCATTCATTAAGATCATGAGAATGAAGGAAATGATCGCCAACCTAAGAATCACACAATAATGTCATGAGAATAGGAGAAATGATTACCAACAAAAGAAGCTTTTGATCAGTAAACAAATTCTCCTTGTCAGCACCTTAGGAAATGTATAAAGAACAGTATGGAGAATATGCATAATGACGTTGGGGTGCAGAGGGTTGAGCATATGGCCAACTGTTGCTCGGTTAAGTGTCAGCATATTTTTCTAGTTTCATCTCTCCGCAATTAAGGCAGTGGCGATGGAGCCTATTGCATAAGAGCTATTGTAAATTGGGTGGTGCTACCTTTAGTGCAAAGGATTTTAAATTATCTCCTTGTGGAAATATTTTGGGTTTTTTACGTTGATTTCTTTGGGAGAATAATCGCATTTGATTCAGTGTAAATACTGTTATAAGCGAGATCTCCATCCCAAGGACACCCTTGGCAGTACAATAAGCGATCTCCTGAATTTGGATTCCTCTCTGAGCTTTAATTTGTGTTCCTAGGGATATGGAGCCCTCCGAGCTAAAGGGTCGTAGATTAGAGCCTTTCTCAACATTTTTTGTACCTTTAATTTATTTAGCCCTTATTCGATTTGCTATTTAATTGACCAGGATTAAACTGCATTACTACAAAAATCAACTAAAAGCGGTTACAGGCTTTTCGCTCTAAAATATCAATAAAACTTATCGTATTATACATTTCACACAAACTGCATGATTCGAGTAGTTAAATCTGCGCTACCTACTTCTGCTCACGACATACTCTATTCTAATCTAATTCGCAGCAAAACTGACAAAATTAGTGAAATATTGGCTTACAGAGAGCCTACAGTAGGCTTCGCTAAACTTAGACGACTGCTGGCTAACGGCCAGCCAACATTCCTGATGATACGTATCTGAGTTTACAACACAGACTTTGATAAACATCCAACATATTATGACTGCTTATTAGGGTATACATGCCAAAACTGCTCACTGTTGTGAGGTCTACTGTACTCGAGGAAATTCTCCAAGTTGTACTACACTAAAAAGAATTAACTGGGAAATAATATTCTACAAGAGCAAACTTTAGAAGATAAATGAACTACAAAGTTGCTACGTTGTGGTTCATGCTGACAATGGGGTTTATGCTCCAAAGCTATGAT